CCCCAAAACCCCAAAACCCCAAAACCCCAAAACCCCAAGCTTTGAGATTGAGATTGAATCAGAAATAATTTTGAAATGTATTCTGTTCTTGAGTTTATGAAATTTGGGGAAGTAGAGAACCCTTCTTGAGATGGACGGGACTAAGTTTGAACTATTGTTTGGTAACTAATTTTAGGAAAATTTGTTTGATTGTGTTCAAAATCATATTTAATGTGAAAACTTCAGAATTCCTTCATAAAATTTTGGCTAACTATTCATTAAGGGAGTAAGCTAGGGACTGATTTGGGTGCTACAAAATCAATCTATTATAACTTAAATCTAGGAAGAATTGGGCATCACTATCCTATCCAGTAAAACTGGGTTGTAAATTTTTAAATGACAGCAATATCAATATAAAGCCACCCATCTTGCTCTTTATGTTTAAAGTAGAGATCCTTGATGATGGCTCCTTCAAAGAGGAGGATTCCGTTGTTAAACATGACTATTTTGTCCTTTGGGCCAATTTTTGCTCCTTCTTCATCTCCAGTACCGTTTGAGTCGGTAAATTTAGTCATTTTGCACTATAATTTCACTTTAAGACTGAATTCGAAAGGCTTAATTTGTCTCAAAGATATTGTAGGGGATCATTGGCTTACTTTTAAGACCTCTCCGATCTCTCCAAGGGTCAAAGACTGGCTGACGTGAAACCTGAAGTTATAAGTCCCGATGTTATTTCTGGTTGTCTAGCACATCAGCAGGGAGAGTTTCGACAACAATGCCGATCAGAGTTGGGTACTTGAACCTGAAATTCTCGTATTCAAGCTTTCTCTGGACAAAATCGAAAGCTTTTAGTGTGCTTGAACTATACGAATAATTAAGAGAAGTTGTTAACGTCTAGAAAAATTCCGTACCGTCCTTTAGCTGCTGTGATTTCATCTTTGGACATTTTTGGACCAAATTTCGTTCCTTTAGTTTCTAAATTGGGGGATTAAGTGGCCAGATTTAGACTGCTTACCTTCAGGAATTGGGTTAAAGGATGGACCAACTTGTAACTGAGCTATATGTGTTTGTAAAAGATTCAATTTACTCGGGTCAGGGTCTGAGTTCATTTTTAATATAAATTATTTCAAAATTTAAAGAACTGGAAGGGGTTTTGGGGTTTTGGGGTTTTGGGGTTTTGGGG